GGCAGAGACCCAGAGAGAGAGGGGGACAGAGACCCAGATTCAGCTTTTGGCTGTGAGTTTCTCTGACTTCCCTTGGTTTTGATGACCTTGACAGCTTTGAGGAAAACTGGTCAGCTATTTTGTCCACTGTCCCTCCACAGAGACCGGTCTGCTGTTTCCATCATAATTACACTGGGGTATCAGGATTGGGCGGGAAGAAAACAGCAGGAAAGTGCCCTTCACATCGCTTCCTGTGAAGAGTACATATGGTCAACATGACCCAGCGCCTTGATGTTGACCTTGATCTCTGGACAGGGGTAGATGTGTCTCTGGCTTTTCCTCCCCTGTCCACATTAGCAGGAGACTTGTGGCCACAGTGCCTGTGATGTGACACTGCTAAGGAAGAGGTTAGCAGTTCGAATCCACCAGACTTAAGCTGGAAAACAGTGGGCAGTTTCCTCCCAGAAATACTTAAGACCTGGGAAACTTGATGGAAGCTTTCTGTTATTGTTACGTGCCATCGAGTCACTTGAGACTCATAGCGACCCTGTGTACCACAGCTCTGAGTTCTGCTCTATCCTGAGTCAATCTCACTGTCTCTGACACACCTACCCCTATTACCCCAGTCACTGTGTCAATCCATCTCATCAAGGGTCTTCCTCTCCTGCGTTCTCCCTCCACCCTCCCAAGAATGATGTCCTTGTCTAAGAATTGGTCCCTCCTTGCAACATGTCCAAAGTGTGGGAGACTGAGCTTTAAAATCCTTGCCTCCAAGGAGCAGCCTGGTTTCACCCTCTCTAGGATGAACTTGCACTCTTAGCAGCCCACGGTGTATGTTCAATACTCTTCTCCAGCACCAAAGCTCAAAAGCATTGATTATTCTTCTGTCCTCCTTAATCACTGTCCAGCTCTGGATTTGTTTTGTGGGTTTTTTATTTTGTTTTGTTTTGTTGGTTTTTTTAATCTATACTGGACTCTTAGGGAGCTCTGGTGGCCTAGTGATAAGAAGCTGTGCTGCAATCCCAGAGTTACGAAGTTCAAGTGCACCAGCTGCTCCAGAGGAGAAAGATGGGCAATGTCCTCCACTGCGATTTACTGCCTCTGAAAACCCATCAGAGGGTCAACCGTAAGTCAGTTTAGTCTTGACATCACAACAACAACAACTGGACTCTGAGTATAAAATGCACCAAGCTGATCTTGTGCTTAGAAATAGCACATATCAAGAAAGAAAGAAAGAGAGAGAGAGAGAAGG